TACATGTAAGATGTACATTGGTTCAGTCCAGAAAAGTAGGACAACCTGAAGTCGAGGGTGTGGGGAGGTGGATGGGGATGTGGTTGGGGGAGTGGGGCTTCCAGGTCATAGGTGGATTCAAAGATTTTCTGATTGACAATTGGTTAAAAGAGTTTATCTGAAGACTTGGAATCAATAGATGGGAGTGTCTGGGATAGATGAGGAAGGGGTTTTGGAGACCAAGGTTCTTATTGTGCAGATGAAACCTCCAGGTAGCAGGCTTCAAAGATAATAGACTAAATGTTTCTTATCAGACTTAAAAAGGGGCACTTGGGAGGCAGAGGTTGGTGGACCATCAGACCATCTGGCCAACATGGTGAAAATCCTGTCTCTACTAAAAACACAAAAATTAGCTGGGCATAATGGCGTGCACCTGTAGTCCCAGCTACTCAGGAGGCTGAGGCAGGAAAATCACTTGAACCTGGGAGGCAGAGGTTGCAGTGTGCCGAGATCACACTACTGCACTCCAGCATGGTGACAGAGCAAGACTCCATTGCAAAAAAAAAAAAAAAGAAGTTCCAGACTCTTAGTAAATTCTCTCTTGGATCAGGAAAAAGATCTGGAAAGAGAAGGAGATTCTCTACAGAATGTAGATATTCCCCAGAAGAGACAGTTGTGCAGGGCCATTTCAAAATGGCCATATGTCAAAGGAATATGTTTTGTAGTAAAATACTTTGATTTCTTTCAGGGCCTGCTATCTCTCATGCTGGTTTAGTAACTATAAGGGTTATTGCCGAGTTTAAAATGAGGAAACTGAGGCCAGTATAAGAAAATTAAATGCCAGTTTATTCAGCTCCTGGGTGAGGTTCTATGGTCCAGGGAAAGGGGACCAGAGAAGTCACGCTGCTGAATTCCTGGGGCGGGGAGTTGCGGGGGGAGTGAGTTTTATGGCTAGGAGGAAGGAGCAACAGCTGGGTGCTCTGATTGGGTCTGGGGGAGCGGGATTGGGACGGGGCAGGCCACTATTGGTTGGCAAGATGTTGGGTGGGTTTTTCTAGCGCAAGGGCCGGCCAGGGTTGCATCAGCCGGAGCCTTCCAGGGGAGCCATGGGGCAGAGCTAGGTGCCGAGTGCAGAGCCAGGTACCGGCACAGAGTCAGGTGCTGAGTGCAGAGGTGGGTGTGTCCAGCCTCCCGGCGAGGCAACCGGCCTTACAGTAACAACCCAACAGATTCACCTTGCCTATTGCCCAGATAGAGCCAAGTAAGGAGACAAGGAAATTGCAATGTGGAAAGAGAAATTTAGGCAGATCTGGCTGTGTGGGAGACTAGAGTTTTATTATTACTCAAACCAGTCTCCCTGAGTGTGAAAGACAGAAAAGCTCTTCAAAGTTTATATCTCAGACTACATTATAAGGAGTTACGATCTCTTGCTCTATAGCCATTGTCCACTATTAGCATAAACATACACCCATGTATATATATTCTCTAAATCAGCTACATCTTAAATCAGCTACCTTGACTTGCTCCAGCATGTCTGAACAGAACTGGGCAAGCTCCAAACCCTGGTGCATGCCATTTCTTATTTGGAAACCCTCCTGACCTTCTCCTGTCTAGCTTCCTCTTCTTTCTCATCTTCTTTCTCCCTATCTGTTCAGGAAATTTCCAAGTTTTTAGCCAATCAGGTCAAGCATAGAATGTGAGGTCCCATTCCGGCCAATGGAAACTGGACACGGCAGTAGGGTTATTGTGTTAGGTTATGAAAGTTGTAAATGTCCCTGTCTCCCTTGTTCAGATGTGCTCTTATGGCAAGACTGCCGGCAGGTTGCACTATTCTCGCAGGAAGTAAACTAGCCTTGCTGAGTAATCCACTGTCTCAGTGTGGATTTTTCCCAATGTTATAAACCCGTTTCCAACACTGAGCATTTGGGGATCAGAGTTTTTAAGGATAATTTGGTTGGCAGTAGGCGGGGCAGTGAGTCATGAACGCTGATTGGTTGGATGGGAGATGAAATCATAGGGAGTCAAAGTTGTCCTTTTGTGCTAAGTCAGGAAATCCTGCATGGGGGCCACAAGATCAGAGAAGCCAATTTCTTAATCTGGGTGGTGCCAGCTGATCCATTGAGTGCAGGGTCTTCAAAATATCTCAAGCATTAATCTTAGGTTTTACAACAGTTATTTTATACCTAGGAACGACTTGGGGATGAGAGTTCTTAAGGAGAACTTGGTGGGTAGGAGGAAACCAGAGAGCCGGGAGTTTCCTCCGGGTTGGGGGAAACCAGTGAGCGGATTGGTCAGGTCAGAGATGAAATCATAGGGAGTTGAAGCTGTCTTCTTGCACTGAGTCAGTTCTTGGGTTGGGGCCACAAGATCAGATGAACCAGTTTATCCATCTGGGTAATGCCAGCTGATCATCAAGTGCAGGGTCTACAAAATATCTCAAGCACTGGCCTTAGGTTTTACAATAGTGATTTTATCCCCAGAAGCATTTGTTTAATAAGAATATAAACAATGATGATATCTAACCAGTGGTTAATGGTATATTTGCTTGCTTCTTCAATTTGTCCTCTTTTTCAAATATATTTACATATTTTAAAAATACACTTAAAAGAATATTTCACTAAGTAAATTGTTTCAAACCTTCAAACCTGCAATTCTACCTCTAGAAGGTTCCTATGGACTTTATCATGCAAAACTATGTCTGCTAAAAAGAAGATATTGTCATTTTATTCCTCTTATGAGATCTTTTAGAGAAGGAAACATCTATCTAGTCTTCTTCAGTTTCAGTTTCAACGGCTTCTCATAAATACATGCTCACTTGTACTCTATGGAACAACTCTGTGTTTCCATTGCTTATCTGACTTATGTCCCAGGCATCTCCCTCAAAAATGGAAGAGGCAAATTCTAGGGCCAATCTTTAGATAAGACATTTAAAAGCTGTAGAGCCTTCAGTCCATTGTGGGAAGTAATAACCATGAGGAATTATGAACTCACACTCATTGGACCCGTTTCAAATGAAAAATTGTATCTGTGTTACTGGTTGAAGAGATCTGAGTTACCCTGAGTTACCAGTGGCATATCAATATGGGCCTGCAGCAACTTCAATTCTTGCCTCCTCAGAAAAAAGAATTCAACCGAGGGGCATAAGGCAGAAAAAGAGACTAAGGGAAGTTTTAGAGCAGGAGTAGAAGTTTATTTTAAGAGGCATTAGAACAAGAAATAAAGCAAAGTTCACTTGGAAGAGATCCAAGAGAGTGTTAAAGTACAAAAAGAACATTTAACCTTGATCCTAGGACTTTATAGGTGCTCCTCTTTCCTTTGATTCTTCCCTTACGGTGGGCTTCCCTAAGGGAAACATGTGCAGTGCCTTTCTCACACTTGGGAACTAAGCACTCTCAGTGTGTTTAGGAAGTTGTATGCAAGCCCATTTGAGACTTTCTTCCCTTTTCCAACTGAGTGTCCCTGAGAGGTCATATGTCACCATTTGTTTCTTAATGTGCATGCCCAGGAATTTTCTTCTTCCTGGTATCTGGTTTCAATTAACACGTTAATGCTAATAGCTGTGTATCATCAAGAAATTGTCCGTCCCTGGTGCCCTGGCACCAGCTGCTGAATTATCATTTTTAGAGAGGCAGTGTGATACTTGTTGAACCATCACCTGACATTCCTAGTGAGTGGGGGGAGAGCCCTCTCCTGCCCTGCTCATGCCTATCTACCTGTAACATCTAGAAATGGTGATGTTGGTGGAGTTAGGTGGCTAATGATAATTAAAGCATTAGAGTACATTTGAGGAGACTTCTTACAGGAAGTGATGTTTAAGCAAAGACCTGAGGCTAGGGAATGCCAAATAAAAATTATAGGAGTTCATTGTTTTGGACAAACCTTTTGCACTAGGCCCCAACAGCATAGACTAAAAATCAAAATGGAGTCACCCGTGTTAAAATTCCTTTTTTTATTTTTCTTTTTTTTGAGATGGAGTCTGGCTCTGTCACCCAGGCTGGAGTGCAGTGTCACAATCTCAACTCACTGCAACCTCCACCTCCTTGAACCTCCTAGGTTCAAGTGATTCTCCTGCCTCAGCCTCCTGAGTAGCTGGGATTATAGGCGCCAGCCACCACACCCAGCTAGTTTTTGTATTATTAGTACAGACGGGGTTCTGTCATGTTATCCAGGCTGGTCTCGAACTCCTGATCTCAGGTGGTCCACCCTTCTTGGCCTCCCAAAGTTCTGGGATTATAGGTGTGGACCATCGTGCCAGATCTACCCATGCTAAAGTTCTATGTAACCAAACCCAAACTAAGTTGCTCTGTGACCTTCCAGAGAAAGAGATAACAGTCTATTTTACTACACACTAGTCCATTTTAAATCTTCAGTTGACATGATAATGAAGTTCCCTCTGCTTTAATTCTCACACAAAAAGGTAGCCTGAAGTTACCTGAGGTTAACTCATCAGTTGTTTTTCTACTGTTCTGCCTCTCTGTTCCTTCCTTATGAGAAAAGTATCTTTGAAATGCCTAACATGATCTTTGTTCTTTCTTTCTGCTTTCTTCAGCCTGTCTCTGTCTATAAAGTTAACCTCTTCTGTTCAGCTCATGAGAGCACTTTCTGTATTTTACGGTATAACGTGCGACCAGATTCTAGAATGGCAAATAAAGCCAATTGAGATCTTTAAGCTAAATTTGTTGTAATTTTATCTTTTGACTGATCTGGCAATCATGAAGTGAACTGTCTTCCCCATGAAACCCTGAAAGTCTTGAGTAAGTCCTTCTCAGGTCTGAGCTCAGCTCTCTCTGGCACTTGAGATCCCTGATATTTTTATACCAAGGTTAGTTTGTGCTATGAGAAAGCATTTGACTTTGGAGTACATAGGGTTAGTTTGTTCTGTTGCAGAGCAGGGTTTGCAGTAGCTGACAAATTACTGGCGAGGACTGCAGTTTTTTGCTCTGTTTGGAGATGTTTCATGTGTTTTCTCAAGATTATGGTCATACAGAAATGTGGGTTGCACCACATTTGCAGCTAGAAAGGACTGCAGTTTTAAGGTAACTGACAGTAGTGGAAGTGAGTGGTTATTACTGCAGGGGAGTGATCTCCGGCTTTCGAAATTCACAGGTATGTGGGTTTTTTCTTCTGCACTTAGGTAAGGGAAGCCTCAGGTCTTAGGTAAGGGAAAGCCTTAGGTAAGGGAAGCCTTAGTAAGGGAACTGGGTCAGACAGAAACTATAAAATCATTGGCTAAGTTGGGCAAGAAGATCCTGTAGCCAAAGTCATCTTGGCTCTGAGAAACCCAAGATTCAATGTAAAAATGGGATCCCTAATTTCTAAAGATCTGAGTAATTCACATTTCAGTAGACCTGCCTTAGTTATACATAAGATTTCTAGCCCCAGGCAGGACTTGGTGGCTCATACTCATAATCTCAGCACTTTGTGAGGCTGAAGAGGGAGGATTGTTTGGGGTCAGGTGTTTGAGGTGAGCTGTCTCTAAGACAAATAATAATAATAATAATAAATTAGCTGAACCTGGCAGCACATGCCTGTAGTCCTAGCTACTCAGGAGGCTGAAGCTGAAGGATTCCTTGAGCACAGGAGTTTGAGGCTGCAGTAAGCTATGATTGAACTACTGCCTTTAAGTCTAGGCAACAGAGTGACCCTCTATCTTAAAAAAAAGAAAAAAGAAAAAAAAAATTCTGGCCCCAGAAGCAACAAATTTTTACAAAAGTGACAAAATTTTACTAAAGATAATCTAGTATTATGGTGGCCATTATGTGAAACATCATCTAAGAAAGTGTACTTGAATTCTTAGCCTCTTGAAGGCAGAGAAAATGGGATTCCTATTGGCATTTAGAAGCCTGGAGAAGAAAACAGGACTGTAAAATATTTTCTAAAAGATTCATTGTGAAAAGCTAGTAAAAAGCTAAAAACACAAGATATCCCCCATAAAAAGGATTGCAAAATTTACCTAATTCTTTGTGTTCTCCTTTAACTTATGTTGCCTGGAATATTCCCAGTGTACTAACTGTCTGAATTGCATTTCCTCTCTGAATAAAAGGAAAGTTAAACAATTTCCTTATAAGGTAGAACCACCTCAGAATTCTGGAGATAGTCCCCTATTTGCTTATACTTTCTGGATAAAAAATGGAAGCCAGGGCCATAGTTTAAAATTTTCCTAAACCCAAAAGATCTTCAAAAGTTTTCTGAAGAATTCAGGCCAGAGTCTGAGAAAAAGTCTTGCTCAGCCACTCAGCATGCTAATGCTGAAGTACGATGGCCTGATTGTAGTTCACTGCAGCGTCAAACTCTTGGGCTCAATCAATCCTCCTGAGGTCACTGGATTACAGGCATGGGTCACTGTGCCTGACAAAACAAAATTCAAGGTCTTAATTGTAACTTTTTTTTTTTTTTTTGAGATGAAATTTCGCTCTTGTTGCCCAGGCTGGAGTGCAGTGGTACTATCTTGGCTCACTCGCAACCTCCACCTCCTGGGTTCAAAAATTCTCCCTCAGCCTCCTGAGTAGCTGGAATTACAGGCATGAGCCACCATGCCCAGCTAATTTTTTATTTTTAGTAGAGATGGCGTTTCTCCATGTTGGCCAGGATGGTCTTGAACTCCCGACCTCAGGTGATCCACCAGCCTTGGCCTCCCAAAGTGCTGAGATTACATGTGTAAGTCACCACACCCAGCCAACAACTTTTTTTGTTTTTTAAACAGAGTCTCACTCTGTGACCAGGCTGAAGTGCAGTGGCACAATCTCAGCACACTGCAGCCTCTGTCTTCCAGGTTCTTCAAGGGATCCTCGTGCCTAAGCCTCCAGAGTAGCTGGGATTATAGGTGTGTGCCACCACACTCAGCTAATGTTTATATTTTTAGTAGAGAAGGGATTTCATGCCGGGCGTGGTGGCTCATGCTTGTAATCCCAGCACTTTGGGAGGCTGAGGTGGGTGGATCACCTGAGGTCAGGAGTTCGAGACCAGCCTGACCAATATGATGAAATCCCATCTTTNGAGCCATCGTGGCCCTTAATTGTAACTTATGATCCTTTATAATAGTTGACCTCTACCACCTAATACAATTGGTGGGGTCTGGGGAGACCCAAAATTGTCTTCTCTTGAGAATGATATCTGTAAGACTTAAAGAAAGAGGAAAGAAACATGAAAAGTTTATTTTAGAGAAAACAAATCTGAGAAGGGTGTCTGGCCAATTTAGGTCAGAGGCACACTTTCTTACAGACTAAGAGTTTTTAAAGATTCAGGGTGGGAGAGTTTATCAGAGCCTTGGACTGCTTCTGCGTCTCTTTGTTGTGCTTATCTGAGAGGGAGACTTGTGTGTCTGTTCCCATACGTCTTTCTGCAGCTGCAGGCATTACTGTCCCCCACCCCACTCTGCTTATAGTTTCCCTATCTTAGTGTACCCGAAGGGAAAGGAATGTGCTTATTAAGGCCCACTGGTTTACTGGGGCCCATCGTATGAGGGTGAAGTTTGGCAGTTACCCAAGGGACTTTTCTCCCACCTCCCTCTGTGCCCGAGCTGTCGTATCTGTGTTTTACTATCTGCTCTTTCTGGCTGCTTGTAGTTAGAAAAGAAGTGATTTTCTTGGAATGCTTGAGGCTGAGAAAGGGAGTTGGAACTTAAAGTGGCAGTGTTTGTCAGCGATGATGGTGCTCCTGCTCTGTCAATATCAAGAACCTGACAAACCCCATCTGGTCTACTTATGGTCCAGGCAAAGCGAGAAAGACTCAAATGACCTTTTGAAAGCCATTCCCAACCAATAAACTTGAATGACTTCTAGGCTTGTCCCAGAGCACTTCTCCAATAAGGGACCCCTAAAACAGTAGTTTCCAAAGTATTGTTGCCATTTGTGCAAACAACTAGGACATTGAAAAAGGGAATGCCCCCAAAGAGCTCCAAGAAAGCCCCCAAAACAGGCTGCCCACCCCCTCTGATAGTAATCTTCATGTTAACACCAGGATTTATAGGCCCCCAAGGAATGCTCAGGTTGAGTTTTTCTTTGTCCTATTCATTAAAGGGCTCTTCCTCGAAGTCAGTAATCAAATTAACAAAACATCTAAATTGAAAAGACTAACTATGAAATGAAATCTTTACAACTAGTTGGGCTCAGTGGCTCATACCCATAATCCCAGTGCTTTGGGAGGCTGAGTTGGCAGGATTGCTTGAGGCCATGAGATCAAGGCCAGCCTGTGCAACATAGGGAGACTCCCTCCCTACAAAAAAAAAATTAGCCACACTTGGTAGCCTGCACCTGTAGTCCCAGTTGCTTGGGAGGCTGAGGTAGGAGGATTGCTTGAGCCCATGAGTTTGAGGCTGCAGTGAGCTTTGATGGTGATAGTATACTCCAGCCTGGGTGACAGAGAGAGAACCTGTTTCTAAAAATATATATAAAATAAAATACAACTTTATGACATTTAGTTGGCTATTTTGAAACTCTGTAAAAGAAATTTACATCTGTAAAGGAAATCCCCGTTAGTAAGGTTGTCTCCCTTTCTGCACCTAAACCACTAGAAACTTTAACAATGGGAAAGATAGTGGCTTAGTTTACATAACAGCCTTACCGATGTTTAAGATGCTTTTTCTAGCCATCTTGTCTTAACTGGAGCTTTACCTATGCCTTTTTTTTTTTGTGACAAATAATAGGGTTTCTATTAATCCAAGATTCTATATTGTTCTAAGTATTGTAAATTGTCTTGTTTTATGTGAAAGTCATCATTTTTTTGGAAGTGCAAATTGTAGAGTTGCCTGATTAACAATTGCTTAGGGCATCGGAATGAGTGATTGAAAGATTGATGTCTAAAGGGGGGAAAGTATTTCAAAATTGGCAGATGAAGAAGCTATAAAATCTGCTTCTGTTTTTTTCTACATGTCTATGTATGTTAATGCTTATATATTTCTCAACCAAAATGTGTAAGAGACTGTAACTGATTGACTTAAAGTGCTTAAGTCAAATATTTTGTCAAAAAATTGAACTTAAATGCCTTTTAGCTTACGTGACTTGAGTACATTTTTGGTAAATAAGACTATTTGAGAAACAGTCGTGTCTTCTGATCAGCAAAAACACCCATGTATTTAACTTTTGGGGGTTTTTGTTTGTTTTTTGGAGACAAAACCTTGCTCTGTCACCAGGCTAAAGTCCAGTGGCTCCATCTCTGCTCACTGCAACCTCTGACTCCCTGGTTCAAGTGATTCTCCTGCCTTAGCCTCCCATGTAGCTGGGATTACAGGCATGTGCCACCACGCCTGGATAATTTTTGTATTTTTAGTAGAGACAGGGTTTCACCATGTTGGCCAGGATGGTCTCTGCCTCCTGACCTGTGATCTGCACGCCTTGGCATCTCAAAGTGCTGGGATTACAGGCATGAGCCACTGCCACTCAGCTAGATTTTTTATTAAATGGCTAATGCCTAACATTTTTATGCTGTAAAATTTATTAACAGGATAATTGGAGATAGTGGTTAGTTTTATTCAATGTCTCACAGAATTTTCATGATCTTGTGTCAGGTCAAATCAGCCTGGTTGTGCAAATTCCTATGTAGGTGGTGGGGGGAATGTTTCAAAATGACTCAGTGACCAATTAAATTCTTACAAATCCATACTTTACTCCAAGGCTTTCACACACCACCAATCATGCAAATACATTCAACAGACGCAGACTGTTAGAGACAGAGAGAAAGAATACAGCAAGTAGTTCAAGAGACCAGCATACTGACTGGGATTGGGTGGGGATGCTTCTCTTCTCTCAGCAGTGCTTCCAGTAACTGCAATAGATGGAAAAGAGGCCTCAGAGTTCTCACGGCCAGAGTTTCTGCAGGTGTCTCTCTCATGGTCAATTTCTTTGTGGTTTTTATGGTCCTCTGTAGGAGTGTCCAGTATCCATACCCATCATCTTTAGCTACCTTTTGGCTTCACTTTCTTGTCAGGTCTTGTGACAGTAAGTAGCTTGCCACTCATGAGCAGGGCAGGAGAGGGCTCCCCATCCCTGCACCACAAATGTCAGGCTGAAGTAGGTGCGGTTGCAGACAAACCTCTCGAACACGGAACTGGGAAGGAAGTGGTGTTTTATTTGGCCAGGAGCTGCAGTGGCATAGATGCCTAACAACCA